ATAACATGGACAAAAACGTTACGATACCTTACGATACATGCAGAATATATAGTCGTTCTATTTATTGATCCCTAACAACGAGAATAAAAGGAAACGGGTCTCATTATATCCTTACAACATGGACAAAAACGTTACGATACGTTACGATACATGCAGAATATATAGTCGGTCTATTTATCGATCCGTAGCAACGAGAATGAAAGGAAGCGGGTCTCGTCATATCCTTATAACATGGACAAAAACGTTACGATACAAGTAGAATATATATAACCAATCTACGATACATTGATCCGTAGCAACGTGTCGCTACGGAATAAAAGGAAACGAGTCTCATTACATCCTTGTAATAACACGAAGAAAAATGTCACAGAATTTGCATTGCGATATATAGGTACAATATATAGCCGATCTGTTCGTCGATTCGTAGGGAAAGTAAAATTAGATTAGATCCTGGTAGCCGATAATTCGGCGTTATATTCTTATAACATGGAGAGAAACGTTACGATACCGAGCCGATCCGTGACTCGTGTCGCGAGAATAAAAGGAAACGAGTTTCTTTTATTATATCACGGAGAAAAATATTACGATATATAACCAATCTATTCATCGATCCATAGCAACGAGAAATTAAATTAAATTTGGGGAAACTCGTCATCGAGCAATTTCACGTGTGGCAGATTCGTAGCAATGATAAATCGCGAGAAGAAAATTAGATAGCCGACAATAGCCTCGTTGTATCCCTATAACTTATATATACATATATAAGAAAGAACGTTATTACGGGATTCGCGTAACAGTAGCCAATGGATGGTGTTTCCGGTTCTCGGATTTAGCTTCCGATACATACACGGAATCACGGTCGAGTTTATCCACTCGATTTCGTCATTCGAGAACAATAGAAACGGTTTGCGCCGCCTCCAAGCATCGATCGATCGATTTATTTACCGAGGGATCGCTTTGCTCGACAGTGGCGTGGTTCTCGTGGGCGACCGGGGCATCCGGCATACCGCAGGAGGTGTCAATTTCCGAGGACGCGATGAGCGCATCCTGCGAGGGTTACGAGCACCGAGTTGTCCTTTCCAGCGTTGGATTTTCGCGGGGCGTTCATTATTGGGAATTAACGATCGATCGTTATCACGCGGACACCGATCCCGCCTTCGGCATAGCAAGGGCCGAGGTGTCGCGGGATCGAATGCTCGGTGAGTAAATACGTATGCTGATACAACTTTTTCCTCTTCCTCCTCTCTTTTTTTTCTTTCGAAAATTTTCAGGCGAACAAATCAATTAATTCAGTTGCCGACAGGTGATTCTATTCGATCTTTTTTTCGATAAATAAATCGGATCGAGTTCATGTACAGTCAATATTAAATTTTCAAAGTTTCGAGAGATGAGATTGGTTTTTACTTCTCCTCCGTACGAAGCGAACAATGGACAAATGGTGTAGCTTGGTTTAATTCTCGCGTTATAATCATTTCCAACCTCTTCCGTTCTTCACCAAGAATTTATCGCAGGCAAGGACGACAAGGGTTGGAGCATGTACATAGATCGGCAGCGTTCTTGGTTCATGCACGGTGGCGGCCACGCGCAGAGGACCGAAGGCGGGGTGCAGCAGGGCTCGACGGTGGGCGTGCTCCTCGACCTGGACACCACCCACACCCTGCGCTTCTTCGTCAACGACCAGCCCCAGGGAGGGATCGCGTTCCGCGACCTCTACGGCGTGTTCTACCCGGCGGTGAGCCTGAACCGCGGGGTCACCGTCACCTTGCACACAGCGTTGGACGTGCCCCGACACTTGTTGGCGTTGCACGAGGAGTACATGACGGACACGGTGCAGAGCTAGGGGTACCTAATCGTCCTGAAGAAGGGCCTTTTGCAGGAGGCCGGCCCGCCCGCCTCCTCCTCCCCGTCCTCGAGCGAGAAGTCGAGCAGGGAGTTCAACAACGGCCAGCTCGAGAAGATCGTCGAGGAATGCCTAGGCGAGGCCAACTGACCGTCCTCCGACCGACCTCGACGCCGCCTCCACAACTTTCTTTAAATTAATAATTTATTCTTCCCCGCGTGATTCCTTGATTCACGAACAATTTTCTCTTTCGAAAAAATTTTTCGTCGAATTGCGATAAAACGAGATTTCGAACACCTTTCCTCGATGAGTAATCACATTGTAGAGGGAGGGGAAGTGATTTTTTTTTTTTTTTCTTTCGTTCTTTAAACAACGATTATTTTCATCTCTGCAAAAAAAATCACTGCCAAGAACTTTGTCGAAGACTGCCATTTTTCGAAGAGGGGGGTGGGGGATATATATATATATAAAATCGAAATATTCTCCGTCTAACGATCGTGAAACGGGATCGTATTCTTATCCATATCGATACGTATCGTAAGTGTAGTAGTCGCGTAGGCTAATAAGATAAGCTCTATCGATATATTCAATAAGACGCATTGCGAGGGATAAAAAGAAGGAAGGAAGAGATCGCAAGCTAGCAGACACACAGCACGTATAATACAAGCAAGCTCGTTAAGCTTTAGCGAAAAAGTAACGAGTCGAATAAACGTTTTCTAGTCCCCGAATGATAAGAAAGTTTTCGTCCGTTTTTTTCTTTTTTTTTTCGTCCTTCTTACGTTTAATTTAAGTAATTGCTTTAATCGCCCTACTTTTCCGATCCCCCTTACTCGTCACTTTGTTATTTCTCTCTCTCTCTCTCTCTCTCTCCTTTTTATACAATTTTTATATCCACCCAAATGAATATCTAACTATCGATCGACTACGATACGTTTCTCCGCTTTACTTTCGAAGCAAAGGAAAAAAAAAAGAAAAAAAAGAAAAAAAGAAAAAAAAGAAAAAAAAAAGAAAACACTACGAATATTCGAATTTAATGCTTATTTAAAGAATAGACGATGCAGCGCACACACTCGTGAAAATGCTTCCTCCAAGGAGGAGCAAGATCGGCGTTGTATATATTTGTATATACATATCTCGATTGTATTTCGAACTGATGAATTTGCCAATCAATAAAAATCACAGCAGAAAGAGAGAGATCATTCGACGATCGTTTTCTCTATTCTTTCTCCTATAACCGATCCGATCTAACCCTCCCTCAAAATCGATTTCAAATGTACTTCTCGAGGAAATAAACTTGCCGTTTCCCTTTCTTTCTTCCCCTTTATTTTGATTCATTTCCATACAAATATCCCCTCTCTCCCCCCCCCCCCCTCCTACAAGAAAGGATATAGATGTTGAAATATAGATGATCTTACTCGTCTTTTTCAATTTTTCCTTGACTTTAGAGAAGAATGGAACAATAACGCTTTGTGACGCAATGTTGATGTTCCCAAATGGGTGGGGGATGGGGGGGGGGAGAGTACGACGAATGAAGCGTCGTTAAGAGGCATTGGTTTGACCGATTTGAAGAAACGAGAGAAGAAGAAAAAAGATGCATCTAATTTATTCGAAGATGATTTCTAAACTCAAAACCAAGTATCCTTGGATACCAGCCTCATGAAAATAAAAAATAACGGGAATGCAAACAATCGTTATATAATATTCTCGTATTCTTCCATCACTCGCCAAGTATCCTCTTCTCTCGAGAATCGAGAAAAAATTCCAAGGTCGAGTTACAAAGTTCGAATACAGGAGAAAATATTCTCGCGAGTGTGCAGGTCGAACAATGGCGCGCGTTATTGCAACGACGATATCCTCCTCTCCTTGCGTCTCGATTCGCTTTGAATCCAACGTTGTTTTGTTCTCATTTCTCTCGAGTTAATCGAATGGATTTGGAACGATCGAGAGCAAAACCGTTTCACCGTTGTTCCATATCCGGCCACGTTAAATTTCATTTTCTTCTTCTTCTTCTTCTTCTTCTCCACCTTTCGTCCTTTTCTATCCGAATCACGATTTCACTCGCTCACTCACTCGATGAATTCAACGCGTTATTGTTCGCCGCGAAATGAATTTGTCTGGCCGCGAATAGGAGTGGAGGAGGAGGATGGAAACGAGAACGAGCGGATTTGATTCGCAATCACCGTCCTTGCTAATTAACACGTTCCCCTTTAATACGCCTTTAACACGACTTTTTCGAATCGAGGAGAAG